AGTCTAACGGGTGCTTAACATCATAAAGGCGGGATGTACGGGAGTAAAGGTACAAGGAGGTAAAGAGGAGCCTTGTCAAAGAGCTCAAAGTGAGAGGCATTCAGGAGTTTTTGATCCCGACGTATTTTACTCACGGTGTCGACAGTTCTACACGAAAAACATGAAAATTAGGTAAAAAATTGGAAAGTTTGGACAAAAAAAAATCTCAATTTAAGCATATTCTGATCTGGGACAAAGAGTAAAATGATCTTCCTTTAAAAATAAACAAGAAATGTCTCTCTTGGAATAAGAAAAAAGCAACAATTCTTTAAATATTACTAAATAAATGGAGAATCTAGTTTAAAACAGTTGGAATGAACTCAGCAAAATAAAACAAAAAACCCTAGATTCAAGCCTTTATTACCTGATATTATGCCGTTTTTTTTTGCAGTGTAGTCCTCTGTTCTTGCCTGGTTGCAGTAGATGGGCCAAAGAAAAAGCCATCCATCCATTTTATATTTTTATTTATTTTTATTTGACAATAAATGTATTGTTAAGACCGGACACAGCTCCAAGCCGGTTTTAAATTTGTGTGTGCAAAGTATTAAAAAATAGAATGGGAGCCAGAGCGAGTTGACGCCAAACTTCATCCATGAGCGCTAATATGCCGATTTTTGTCTGTGGAATTTTGTGTGCTTCTATCTCTGATCTTTTTCCCATTGGTCTCTTCCTGGTCTCTCCCTCGGGTCCCTCTCTCTCTGTTTGTCTAGCCCTGGGCTCTGTCTGGTCTCTCTGGCCTCTCTCTAGTCTCTCTCTAGTCTCTCTCTAGTCCCTCTCTAGTCCCTCTCTAGTCTCTCTCTAGTCTAGTCTCTCTGGCCTCTCTCTAGTCTCTCTCTAGTGTCTCTCTAGTCGCTCTCTAGTCTCTCTCTAGTCTCTCTCTAGTCTCTCTCTAGTCTCTCTGACCTCTCTTTAGTCCCTCTCTAGTCTCTCTCTAGTCTCTCTGGCCTCTCTCTAGTTCCACTCTAGTCTCTCTCTAATCCCTCTGGCCTCTCTCTGTGGTCTTTCTCAGTCCTGCTCCGGCCCCTCAACGTCGTGTCCTCTACAGCTGTATTTTAAAGTATACGCACGGCTTTTGACAGCTGCAGCAGCGCTCAAACCTACACCCAACAGCTCTCACATCTCTGCAATCCCACTTTAGCCGTCGTGAGACAAACATCGGCTAGAAAAGTGTATAAAATGTGTGGTTTTACAGCCTCAAAACACACAGCTGCTACTTCAAATTTCACTTATTGGGTGGTATTTTGGGAACACACCCCGAGGGACCAACGTATTTACAGTCTCAACACACTCCTTCATATTGGTTCGTGGAAGCTTTTGCATCTTGACTGCGTGTAAATAACTCTCTAGTACAGACCAGACAGAGTCCCAACAGGTTGTGACTGGTCTCAAGTTCCTCCACTCTTGTCGACATCTCAAACCTTTTCACCGACACGCTAGGAGCTTTAGCAATATTTCAGCAGTGTGTGTGCATGTGTGTGTGCATGGGGGTGGGATAGCAAAGGGGTGGGGGGGGGTGGCCTCGCTAATAACCAGCCAAGGTACACTAATCTCCGATGGCAACATTTGGTTTACCTTAAGCTGGAGGGACAGCTGTATTAAAAGCAGGAATTATCCTAATCAGCTGGGAGTGCATCCGAGCGTCCGCCCTCCTCCCGCTGCACCTCTTTGCATATAAAACTTCATCATGTAGGCTTAAGAGACACCGGCTTAAGCACCACAGCGCCCTAACATCTGTCTCTCTGCGCTGATGGCCAATCAGAGCGCGGGATGAGGCTGGGGGGGGAGGGAGGAGAGGAGGGAGGGAGGAGGGGAGGTGTGGAAGAAGATGGATGGAGGAAGAGTACATTGGGAAGTACAGTCATTGAAAACACAAGGGGCGTCGACGGGTAAGGTAAGTTTATTTGACTCTGGACCAGCAGAGCCGTCCCTGTGCTCCCTCAGAGTCCCAGCAGACAGCCAGTCCCTGTGCTCCCTCAGAGTCCCAGCAGGAGGCCATTCCCTGTGCTTATCCTCAGAGTCCCAGCAGGAGGCCAGTCCCCTGTGCTTCCCTCAAAGTCCCAGCAGAATCCAGTCCCTATGCTCCCTCAATGTCCCAGAAAGAGCCAGTCCCTGTGCTCACCTCATAGTCCCGCAGAAAGAGGCCAGTCCCTGTGCTTCCCTCATAGTCCCAGAAAGAGGCCAGTCCCTGGTGCTCCCTCAGAGTCACAGAGAGCCACAGAGCCATAGCAGAGACCTGAAAACTGAGGAAAAATAGTAAAAATCTTTGACAAATCTAAATCTGTGGGTATTTCACTTTATTATGTCATTAAAAAAACTCCACGTATATTTGTTCAACAGAAAGAGTCTTGTAAAAATCAGGAGGTTGTGAACAATTCGGACCGCACAAATAAGTCTTCATTAAAATATGAAAAATGTTAACTAGACTTGCAAGTAAAAAGCCCTTTGAGTCACTATTTGACTGTCTTTGTGGTGTGACAGACCAGAAATATGCATGTGAAAACTAGTGACATACACCTGTTCTCGCTCTCTGGTCTCTCTGGTCTCTCTCTCTGGTCTCGCTGGTCTCGCTGGTCTCTCTCTCTGGTCTCTCTCTCTGGGCCCTCTGGTCTCTCACACTCGTGGTCTCACTCTCTTGTCTCTCTTGGGTCTCTATAGCTGGTGGCTCTCTCCGAGAGACCAGAGGTGAGAGACCAGAGAGAGGGAGACCTGAGAGAGGTGAGAGACCAGAGGTGAGAGACCAGAGGTGAGAGACCAGAGAGAGGGAGACCTGAGAGAGGTGAGAGACCAGAGAGAGGTAGACCTGAGAGAGGTGAGAGACCAGAGAGAGGAAGACCTGAGAGAGGTGAGAGACCAGAGAGACCAGAGAGAGGAAGACCTGAGAGAGGTGAGAGACCAGAGAGACCAGAGAGAGGGAGACCTGTGAGACCAGAGAGAGGTGAGAGACAAGAGAGAGGGAGACCTGCGAGACCAGAGAGAGGTGAGAGACCAGAGAGACCAGGGAGACCAGAGAGAGGGAGACCTGAGAGAGGTGAGAGACCAGAGAGACCAGGGAGACCAGAGAGAGGGAGACCTGAGAGACCAGAGAGAGGGAGACCTGAGAGACCAGAGAGAGGGAGACCTGAGAGACCAGAGAGAGGGAGACCTGAGAGACCAGAGAGAGGTGAGAGAGGTGAGAGACAAGAGAGAGGGAGACCTGCGAGACCAGAGAGAGGTGAGAGACCAGAGAGACCAGAGAGAGGGAGACCTGAGAGAGGTGAGAGACCAGAGAGAGGGAGACCTGAGCCAGGTGAGAGACAAGAGAGAGGGAGACCAGAGAGACCAGAGAGAAGGAGACCTGAGAGACCAGAGAGACCAGAGAGACCAGACAGACTAGAGAGAGAGAGGGAGAGAGACCAGAAAGATATGAAGTAAAAAAAAGAGAAATTCCAATCCACAAGTGGCTTACACAACACACATTACACACATTACACACAACACACCTCTTCCCCAATCCAAACAACACTACGATCCCCGCAGTTCAGCTGCAGGCCTCGGGTTTTCGCTCCAAACGCCACGATTCTCAGGAAAAGCGCGTAAACACCGAGCGGCCATCCATCCAAGGTAACAATCCGACGCACCGAGGGTAAAATCAAATATTTACATTTCATTCAGGAATAAATATAACAGAACGTCGTACAGCGCCGGCGTTGTTTGTGAGGCCACGGCACCGGCGCGGGTTATAAATGATGGCGGCGTGACGGGTGGAGACGCAGGGAACGGAGAGCGCCGCACGCCGAAGGTAAACACGGCGCTAGAACAATGCGAGCGGCTCCAAACATTCCCCACGCAGCTTTATCACCTCTTTCACAACGTTAAGAGCCCTGGCCCTGACGCAGTTTTAGTGTTTTTCCATGGATCTTGCAAGTTTTTTTTTATGATTTGACAAATGCTATAACAGGGAGGTAGCTAGGAGGACCGACCGAAAGCAAAAACAAAGCTTTAAAACCAGGAAGCAACTGTGGAGAGATTTAGGAACGTTATATGTCGAAAATGGCTCAAATTTCACAAATTTGATCCTACTGTAAGTTGAGCACTTTTTGACAGTCTAAAAGCGAGATTTGCTAATGAAACGAAACAAAATGAGAAATTTAAGAACTCCACATTTAGATAGATAGATTGATGGATGGATGCTTAGAGGGAGAGAGAGACCAGAGAGAGGGAGAGAGACCAGAGAGAGGGAGGGAGACCAAAAAGGGAGGGCGAGAGACCAGAAAGAGGGAGAGAGAGAGAGAAAAAGGGAGACCGGAGAGAGGGAGACACCAGAGAGAAATGGAGACCAGAGAGACACCTGAGAGAGGGAAGGAGACCAGAGAGAGGGAGGGAGAGAGAGAAAGAGGGAGACCAGAGAGACTAGAGGGAGGGAGAGAGACCAAAGAGAGGCAGGGAGAAAGAGACAGAGAGGGAGACTAGAGAGAGGGAGGGAAAGACACCAGAGAGAGAAATGGAGACCAGAGAGACACCAGAGAGAGGGTATAATATCTAGGCCGTTGTTTCTGGCCACTTTCTCTGCTCTAGTTCAGTGTAAAAACTTCCACCCGCCGTGAACACATCTGTGCTTATTTCCATTATTTCAAGTCCAACTCTGCTTGTTTTTTTCTTTTCTGAATTACAGATTTCCCATTTGGTCATTTCCCACCACATTCCAGCCGTACATTCTCCGACTGACCTTCTGACGTTCTCTCATCTTCACAAACCGGATACATAGCAAACGAGAGGAGGCCGCTGTTGACAGGGCGTCACGGTCTCTCGCGCCTCGTAATGAACCAAACCGCACCAAACGCCTTCAAAAAATCCTGGCGTGTCACGTGGACTCGGACTGTATAGGAGCGGGGGAGGGAGGGGGAGGGGGGTGGGGGTGGTTCGTGATCACCCAGGCCTTCATTAAGAGAGCGCACTTTAAACCCATCTCTTTGACTTCGGCGATGGTAAACACGCTCCGATCGTCGGACGAGATGAGCCGCGCTTATCAAAGCCCGGGCGGGTGGAAGCTGTCAACCCTTGGAAGGTCCGCGGGGGGTGTGGGCGTGGGGGGGGGGGGGGGGGGTGTTGTAGCGAAGACTTAAACGCTGTGTGACGTGTCCCCAAAGCGAAGGGGGCTGTGACTCCCGTGAAGCTGAGGGAGAGAGAAGAAAACACGACTTTAATCATCTCAGCTTGATCTCAAATTCTGTTTAAAAAGGCAAAAATAACATATATATTTTAATATATGGGGAGTGTGTCATAGTTTGGTCGTGTTGGTATCAGTGTGAAAGGGGTTGGTTAATGTTTGGATAGTAACAGATAATCAGCCATGGAAGTGAGAGCTATGGTATACCAGCTGCGACACCAGGGGAACATCTTGGTCAGATTTATTTACTAAAAATAACATAAATGATGCTTGTCAAGTCATATTATCTTGTTCTATTGACAGATGATTTTTATTATTGTCAGCAGTGTTTTACTTTGACCAGAGAGAGACCAAAGAGAGACTAGAGCGAGACCAGAGCGAGACTAGAGAGAGACCAGAGCGAGACTAGAGAGAGACCAGAGAGAGACTAGAGAGAGACCAGAGAGAGACTAGAGCGAGACCAGAGCGAGACTAGAGCGAGACCAGAGAGAGACTAGAGCGAGACCAGAGCGAGACTAGAGCGAGACCAGAGCGAGACTAGAGCGAGACCAGAGAGAGGCTAGAGAGAGACCAGAGAGAGACTAGAGCAAGACCAGAGAGAGACTAGAGAGAGACAAGAGAGAGACTTGACTCCTGGACCTGGTGGGGGTCTGGGGCCCCTCTCTCCTCTGGGTCCCGTGTCGTCTCCTGTGGCTGCAGCCGGCTTTCTGCTCCTGGTGCAGATGGCTCCTCGGATGGCGCTTCTTCAGCCGGTTACATCTGCTCCCAGCCCCATTTCTTTTCATAGTTTTACCTATTTTACCTATCTGATGTGACTTTATATATGTATGTGTGTGTGTGTGTGTGTGTGTGTGTGTGTGTGTGTGTAACCCGTTCTACCTGAGCCGCTCTTATTATGACACCTTTTATTTTGGGACTACTTCCGGCGCAACCATTGTTTCCGCCTGACTGGTGCGCGTTAGCTTATCTGGCTCAGTGTTTGAGACGCACGGACCGGCTGTCTCAAACTTTGAGCAACATTGAGAGAACTTTCTGGAGTTTCTGGAGCAATTGCGCTGATGCCGGTCTAACAATCCGACAAAGGACTAATGCTGTGTTCAGACCAAACGCTTTTTGGGCGTCAAAAACACATCCGACGCAAGAGAGACCAGAGAGAGACCTGTGAGAGACCTGTTAGAGACCAGAGAGAGGCTAGAGAGAGACCAGAAAGTGTCTAAAGTTAATACAAATAACAGTAATCAATAAAAAACAAGTCCAGATTGAATCCAGTTTTTTATCAGACCGAGGTCCCTGCAGTGAAAAGCTATGAAATTCCCACCAGAAGTTATTATTATTACCCAGACGAAAGAGGAGACGGGATTAGACCATGCACACCTAACCTCAGGGAAGCGGGAGGTGGGAGGAGCGTGTTCGTAAACTAAGGGGGGGGGGGGGTTAAGGGGGAGTCGGGGGGGTTTGGTTCTTGACATGTGGAGGTGAGGCGGTGTCAGTATCGATTGATCGGCGGGCCAGCGTTCAGTGTCAGGAGCATTGACATTCTCTCGTCTTACGTTGGGATCAGGAAGGTGGGGGGCTGAAGGGGGGGTTGCGTTTGCGTCCGATCTTGCCAGGAACTCGACCCCTCGTCCCGGCCGCTGTTCTGGGAAAGAGATCGAGAAGCGAAACAAAACGTGTGAGAGCGTTCGGCCTCCGAGTTAGCTGCAAGTGCCAACGCCATCGACCGCCTCCTCACCTCCACCTCGCCCTCACCGCGCCGCCACGGTCCCGGGGGGGAGTTTACCAGCAGCCGATCCATGAAGCGCAAGACAGCCACGATGCCACCGGGCCGGGAGCAGATGCTAACCACTCAGATACACGTGTTAGCTCATTCCAATGTATGTTTGTTCTGACCGTTTATTTGGTGTGTGACATCACCATAGCTAGCTAAAAAACAGAATAAGCCGATTTGAACATAAGCTAGCTGGAGCTAATTTCCTTATATGGGCATTTGTTCCGACAGGACTGTAACAGGGGGAGGTGTGGTTGTTGCTCAGACAAGCCGGATATTGGCCGCATCTGGTCATACTTTTTTTTTCTTACAGATTGGCCTCTAACTTACCCTGGTCTTACCACACCATCATACTAATTTCATTTCGTACAAAGGTCTGGATTTGCTCCATTGACTCCGTTAACAGGTGGGAGGGGTTAACTCCTTTTGCAGATTGAAACCATTGGATCTGAGGTTACCGTGACGTATATAATGAGCCCGAGTGAGTGAGGCATTTAGCATTTAGCATTTAGCCTAGCTTTAGCATCTCCTTTGCCACTGGAGCCCGTGGGGAGCAGAGCCACAACATCTTTGCTTCAATGACATTTACTAAACATTCCTCTTGCTCCGGCTTCAGTTTCTTGATATTTGGATTGAACCAGAACAGATTATTTTACGATCGCATTCTCTGACAAACTACAACCAGCAAATTCGGCACAAACTCTTGACGTCACCGACACCAACCTACAACACCCGCCTCCCCCACTCTCTTATTGGTCGGGGGAGATTCATCCGAGGAAACTGCAGCCACTAGGATCAGATCCAGACGTACATGCAGGAAATGATCGTGGACCAGAGTTCACTGCTTCTGACGGATACTGGGGCCTCTATATCTCTGTTTTTTACCTACTTGTCTTGTTTTGTGTCTTCACCGGGGACAGGACATCCATAAATACATGTTTGTGTATTTGCTGACGTGTGCAGCTCTACAGTGACATGTGATACGCACCTCACAGATCAGGTAATACAGCGGGGGCCTGTGATGTCACATGTCAAACACTGAATCAGCACATTTCCATTTGATACATTTAATACAGCATGATACACCTGCACCGGGAATGAGCGTTTGTAATTATCTATTTGAAGAGATATGGTTAGTTTTTGTCTACACTCATACACACACACACACACACATACACGCACACAGACACGCACACAGACACGCACACGCATACACACACAGACATACACACACGCACACATGCACACAAAAAGGTAAATGTAAAAAAGGCAATAATAACCATAAATACTGAAATTATATATACTTACAAATGCTTATACTGATAACATATACAAATACACACATATATACACTCACACAAACACAAAGACACACACGTACACAATCACACACTCCTGCATACACAAAAACACACACACACACACAAAGACGCACAAAAACCTTCTGTCACACATACACAAGTACACACACACACAAAGACACACACACACTCACACACTCTTACACACACACAAAGACACACTCACACACTCTTACACACACACGTACACACACATACATACATTCTAGTGCATGTATAAGTAGTATGTCATTAGGGTTCAGGTCACACCAGTGCGCCACACAAAAAAACTGTATCAAAAAAGTTGGTAACTTTCTCACCGACCTCTCTCCGTCTCTTTCCAAAAAAGCCAAAAACAAACCAAAAGTGGCTCAGGGGGGTGTCATAGATATCCCCCCCCCCCCCCTGAGCAGCAGTGACGGGCCCCTCTCCCCCCTCCCCCTGCACCTCACCCCTACCCCAGCCTCCGTCACCCAGATGCGCCCTGGCAGGGTGGGTGCTGCTCTCTTCAGTGGTGGGAGGGGGCCCGGGTTGGTGTCATAGCCCACCCCCCTTCACCACTACCCCCTGGTCCTCGGGAGACAGGGGGGAGGACAGGGGTGGGGTGACGGAGCCAGTTTTTCATGCGAGACATTTGTTTTTACGTCTGGTTTTGTTAAGTTCAGGTTTTGTGTAGGACAGAAGACGGCTTTTGATTCAATTTTATATTAGCTAAAAAATAAACAAAAAAATGTAAAATATCCAATAAATGAAGTTGGGAAATTCTTGAACATCGGACTCAGAATTATTTTCATTGCCATTGTGAGTAATAGGAAGTAAAAACAGAATGAGGCATACAAAATAAATAAACAAATTTACATTATTTTTCCTTTTTAATTACTACAATTTATAAGTAAACATCTGGGACTAGTACACACTTTTAACCACCTGGTCTCAGTCCAGAGACTGGACTGAGACCAGAGAGAGACCAGACTGAGACCAGAGAGAGACCAGACTGAGACCAGAGAGAGACCAGACTGAGACCAGAGAGAGACCAGAGAGAGACCAGACTGAGACCAGAGAGAGACCAGAGAGAGACCAGACTGAGACCAGAGAGAGACTAGAGAGGGACCAGACTGAGACCAGAGAGAGACCAGACTGAGACCAGAGAGAGACCAGAGAGGGACAAGAGGGGACCAGACTGAGACCAGAGAGAGACAGAAAGACCTAAGAAAGAAACCAGAATGAGATCAGTGATCAGAGAGAGGCCAGAGAGGGACTAGAATGAGACCAGAGTGAGAGACCAGAATGAGACCAGAGAGGGGGACCAGAGAGAGAGAGATCACAAAAACCAGGCCAAACCTTTCTTCTGACTTTTTGGAAGTTGTGGGTGAAGTGTCTTGCCTAAGGACAGGCTAGCACTTTGCAGCCGCAGCCGCCCCCACTCTGGCATCTGGTGTTCCCGGAGGTCTCACATCACAGCACTAACCAGGCCCTGCACCTGCTTAGCTTCAGAGGTCTAGAAACACGACTAGACACAAAACAGTACAATATAAAACCTGAAAACGGCCGATCACCTCCACCTTCTCTGGACTCTGCAATCTCTCCAGACCTTTCGCCATTGGCTCAATAACTCCGAAGACATCACTTAACACTTAAAGGCCTATTGTGTGTACTATTGTGTGTACTATTGTGTGTTTATCTCAGGTGGAGTGTTGTGTGTCTCTTCCAAAGCCACTGAAGCAGTAAATCCCTCTGTTGGCTCCAGTCGCCTCCGGGTCTCTCTCTCTCTGCAACTGTGGCTAACACCTTTTACGCACCTCTTTGTACACACTTCCACCTACCCCATGCCCCCCCCCCCCCCCCATCCCAGTGTGTGTGTGTGTTGTGTGGGAGTGTGGGGGGCGGGGGGGGGGGGGGGGACAGGTAATGAGTGGCTGGCGGCGGGCTGAATGGCTACACGCCTGTAAGAGTGTGAAATTACCTGACACACACAGGTGCTCCGTCTGCGCTCGCAGGGGGGTGGGGGGGGGGGCGGGGTGGGGGGGTAAGGGCAGAGGGGGGAGGAGGGGGGGAGAACATATGCCCCTGCACATGCTGTCACCCGCAGTCATCGACGACACAAGACGGCGGGGTTTTTTGTGTAGCACAGTTCGTAGGCGAGGGGCTGAACCAAACAGGATAGTAGATAATAAATAATGGTTTCGATTATTGTCAGAGAAGAAGCCTGTCTCACATTTTCAGGAAGATGGAAGCAGATTTTGTTGCATGAATCTGAAATACCGCCTTTAGTTCTGACTCTGGGACCAGCAGGAGGCCAGTCCCTGTGCTCCTCAGAGTCCCAGGAGGATGCCGGTCCCTGTGCTCCTCAGAGTCCCAGGAGGATGCCGGTCCCTGTGCTCCTCAGTCCCAGGAGGATGCCGGTCCCTGTGCTCCTCAGAGTCCCAACAGGATCTATACAGCCTCAGTCCTGGGTCTACAGTCTCAGTCCTGGGTCTACAGTCTCAGTCCTGGGTCTACAGTCTCAGTCCTGGGTCTACAGTCTCAGTCCTGGGTCTACAGTCTCAGTCCTGGATCTACAGCCTCAGTCCTGGATCTACAGCCTCAGTCCTGGATCTACAGCCTCAGTCCACAATTTTGGTAGTCCCCCGCGACGACTGCTGCTTTAGGGCGAGAGGTCTCCAAAATGGGGCAGAGGCTCTACTCCGAGTCCCTGTTATGTACCTGGCTCTCAGTATAAAAGAATAGGGTTAATTTTATCTGCAGCGACTGAACATTTTTGACTGATTTTGACGCTTTTCTGGCTTGGATCTTTCGCTTTGAGCCGAGACCAGACATTGTTAGAATCTTAAAAACGTGAAAGTTTCTGCGGAGGATGGAAATTACTGAAGTGTCATATGTAATAATCGTTGTGAGCATAGTAGGCGTAGTATCTCTGCACATTGGTCTTGGAAAAGGAAATGAGTAAATCCAATAGAGCAGGATAAAATCAGAGCAAGCGGGGGGGGGGGGGGGGGGACGCCCTGGTGTCCGGCCACATGCCATCCGTCTTAGAGAGGGGTCAAACTAACTGCTGTACGGCGGAGGGCTGAGGCTGTAGATCCAGGACTGAGGCTGTAGATCACAACCGTCATTTGCGAATCAATATTTCTTTAGATAAATAGACATTTTTCATTAATTTACAGGTTATTAACTTTGTTTAATTGAAAATATAATCCTATTTGTTCTATTTTAAAATAAATTATGGTTTTACTCCCACAAAATCACAGGGAATGTGATTTTCTTTCTCTTTTCATCACAATTTAGACTTTTATTCAAATCGCTCGAGAAACACATGTAATCTGTAATGTAGTGATATAATCTGGATTATCTGGAAATTAGAAAGAGCCACAGGTTAAAATACACAGTAAAATACATTTTTACCTCTATTTAAGTTTAAAAAATAGAGGTCTGTGACATGTTAGTGCCATATGAACCAACTGGGGAGCACAGGGACTGGCCTCCTGCTGGACTCTGAGGAGCACAGGGACTGGCCTCCTGCTGGGACTCTGAGGAGCACAGGGACTGGCCTCCTGCTGGGACTCGAAGGAGCACAGGGACTGGCCTCCTGCTGGGACTCTGAGGAGCACAGGGACTGGCCTCCTGCTGGGACTCTGAGGAGCACAGGGACTGGCCTCCTGCTGGACTCTGAGGAGCACAGGGACTGGCCTCCTGCTGGGACTCTGAGGAGCACAGGGACTGGCCTCCTGCTGGACTCTGAGGAGCACAGGGACTGGCCTCCTGCTGGACTCTGAGGAGCACAGGGACTGGCCTCCTGCTGGGACTCTGAGGAGCAGAGGGACTGGCCTCCTGCTGGACTCTGAGGAGCACAGGGACTGGCCTCCTGCTGGACTCTGAGGAGCACAGGGACTGGCCTCCTGCTGGGACTCTGAGGAGCAGAGGGACTGGCCTCCTGCTGGACTCTGAGGAGCACAGGGACTGGCCTCCTGCTGGGACTCTGAGGAGCACAGGGACTGGCCTCCTGCTGGACTCTGAGGAGCACAGGGACTGGCCTCCTGCTGGACTCTGAGGAGCATGAGTAAACATGCAGCGGTATCATTCCAGATTCGTGCAGCTAAAATCAGTCTTCCTGAAAATGTGAGACAGGATTCCATCATGGTTTAGGTTCATTTCCTGTTTTCTTTTGTAATGGGTTACGCTCTAAGTCGTCCTTAGGTTCTACTTCCTGTTTCGTTATTGTCACGTCTGTTTTGCTTCTTGTCGTTTGTTCCTTTTAGGTTACGTTTTTTTCTTTTTTTCTCTGGATTTTGTTTGGGTTCATTTATTTTTGCTGCCGTGACAAGATTCTTCTATTTTGTTTTGCTAACACGCCGCTAACACGTACAGATGCTAACATACAACCATACAGTATATCACTTGCAGTAGAATACACAGTTCTTTAAAGAAGCTGTACCCGATTTTTTTTCCAAGTAGTTCATAAAAATGCTTTTTACTACATACAAGTTGTATCATAATACTGTACATCATTTAATTGAAAACTTGAGGTCATTGATTCAGCTGTGTAAGAATAAAAGCAGTGAAAAGTGCTGAGTAGAGTCTTAGCGGGCCGCTCTTTCTCCTCCACTCACAGAACAAGAAGCGAGCAGCGACCAGCCTGCGTCCTCTAGCCTCTACAGCCTGTGTCCTCTAGCCTCTACAGCCTGCGTCCTCTAGCCTCTACAGCCTGTGTCCTCTAGTCTCTACAGCCTGTGTCCTCTAGCCTCTACAGCCTGTGTCCTCTAGTCTCTACAGCCTGCGTCCTCTAGCCTCTACAGCCTGTGTCCTCTAGTCTCTACAGCCTGTGTCCTCTAGCCTCTACAGCCTGTGTCCTCTAGTCTCTACAGCCTGTGTCCTCTAGCCTCTACAGCCTGTGTCCTCTAGTCTCTACAGCCTGTGTCCTCTAGTCTCTACAGCCTGTGTCCTCTAGCCTCTACAGCCTGTGTCCTCTAGCCTCTACAGCCTGTGTCCTCTAGTCTCTACAGCCTGTGTCCTCTAGTCTCTACAGTCTGTGTCCTCTAGTCTCTACAGCCTGTGTCCTCTAGCCTCTACAGCCTGTGTCCTCTAGTCTCTACAGCCTGTGTCCTCTAGTCTCTACAGTCTGTGTCCTCTAGTCTCTACAGCCTGTGTCCTCTAGTCTCTACAGCCTGTGTCCTCTAGCCTCTACAGCCTGTGTCCTCTAGTCTCTACAGCCTGTGTCCTCTAGTCTCTACAGCCTGTGTCCTCTAGCCTCTACAGCCTGTGTCCTCTAGTCTCTACAGCCTGTGTCCTCTAGTCTCTACAGTCTGTGTCCTCTAGTCTCTACAGCCTGCGTCCTCTAGCCTCTACAGCCTGTGTCCTCTAGCCTCTACAGCCTGCGTCCTCTAGCCTCTACAGCCTGCGTCCTCTAGCCTCTACAGCCTGCGTCCTCTAGCCTCTACAGCCTGTGTCCTCTAGTCTCTACAGCCTGCGTCCTCTAGTCTCTACAGCCTGTGTCCTCTAGTCTCTACAGCCTGTGTCCTCTAGTCTCTACAGTCTGTGTCCTCTAGTCTCTACAGCCTGCGTCCTCTAGTCTCTACAGCCTGCGTCCTCTAGTCTCTACAGC